GGGCTGGCAGGGGTCCCCCCCATGGTCCTCCCCCCTAACTCCTGCCCCTACTTACCAGCTCTGAGTCAGCTGTAGCTCCCTGCTGCAGCCACCGGAGGTTGTCCGAATCATCAAAGCTCTCCAAATCTTTTCTGAAGATCTGGAGAGCTTTGATTCGATTGGGACCTTTAAGTTGGTCCCCTGATGCGATTTCTATTTGGAGATTCAGCCAATCAGGCCGAATCTCCTCTGAACTGAATCACCACCCAAAGCTTTGCACAGCCCTACTGGGTACCATTGCAGTCTTTGGCTTCAGGTTGAACTGTGAGGGGTCAGCAGTTCTGAAAGTCAAGCCCCAGGTGTCTCAAGTGGGGCAGCAAAAAAATGCACATACTTGGAAGTAGAGGCCATGGCTAAAAATGGGTTATGAAGAGCCTAATCCAGCACTCACTGAAGTGGTGACTTCAGCGTGACCTGAACCAGGCTTTGGTAGATGTAAAATATAATAACCGGTTTGTGAATCATATTCCAGACTGATTCCCAAACAGCAGTTAAAACAAACATTTTGATATGGCTGGAAACCTTCCAGTGATGCACACTGATTTATAGCATAATTACATAATCTGGTTATTGCTACTTTGTTTTCTCTATCCCTTTTGTTCTACTGTATACTTACCTCTGTTGTGGCAATCGAACTATATGTTCTCCTGAACAGTGGCAGTGTCTTAATATATTTGTACAGCACCTTGCACAACAGGACCTTGAATCTATTTGGACCCTCAAGGAGGAGGAGGAGTTGTTATTGTTAATAATCCTCCACCCTCCTCCTTTTCCTCCTACTACTGGTAACACACAGCACGCATTTATATTGATGCACTTTCTGAAATGGGTGAATCAGAGTGAAGAAAGTTCATGGATTCATGCATATGACTTTTGTAAATTAAATAGAAAGAGTCCTATTTTATTCACTGGACTTTGGATTGGGCCCAAATGGAAGCCACATGCATCTGTTTTAGAGAGTGTATATTAATACCAAAGGAGTGAGTAGGAATAACAGGAAAGTGATGGCATTTGCCTCCGACCCCCAACTTTCATAACCTCATAACCTTGCTTCTCTGAAATTCATCCAGCACCACATTTGTACCCTTACAGCCAAATCAACACATCTCTTATTCATAGATGTAGGGTTGGAAGGGACTTCAACAGATCATCAAGTGCGACCCCCTGCCCTGGGCAGGAAAGAGTGCTGGGGTCAGATGACCTTCTTTTGTGCAAAGTTGTGTGGCTTCTGTGACTCCAGTTGTGAATGTTATTAGCAGGCACCTAGAGGGAAAAAGGTAGTAGGAAGGAAATAGATTTGCTAGCCCAGTCGTTTTCCACCTTTTTTTTCATTTGTGGACCTAAAACATTTCAAATGGAGGTGTGGAGCCCTTTGAATTGTAAGTGTGGGTATTTACATACTTTTGATTGATCATAGTCATCTTTTGCGGACCCCTTAGTTGTAGTCTACAGACTCCCAGGGATCCACAGTCCACAGGCTGAAAACCACTGTGCTAGACCAAAGCTATGTCTGGGGTACTTTCATGCAGTGCTACAAAAATCACTCAAAATATTCCTCAAACAAATAAGCCCAAGAAGTTAAATCAGGAAACTAGAGCAGAAGGCTGATGAAAGAATTGAATCAGCACAGAGATAACATGAGATGGACAAAGAATAAGTGACAAGAGCTGCCAGACTACCCAGGCTGCAAGTGAGAGATGGCAACAAGCCTTACTTTTGTTTCTTTTAAGAAACAAGGAGGGCAGGAATTAGTAAAATTGCCTGAAAGTTCTAACACCTCTCAATTGAGCATCTTTTTCAGAAATGCAGGGCTAACTGCAGGTATGCAAGTTTATCTAACTTTAACGTGGACACAGTGGCACCCATCAGGGCACACCTCTGCTCCAGATGCTCTGCCTAAGCCTGCTTCATTTAATCAATGTGCCCCAGGTGTTGGGAGTAATGCCAGGAGCACAAAGTGATCAGGTATGAGTTCCATCTCTTCTGAAATGGTGCTGACACTACTGCCATCCCTATCAAAGGTGTTTGTTCCCCTATAAGAAAGGGGAACAAAAAGAAGTTCTAGAGTAGGAAGCAGTCGGGAGAGAGAGAAGAGGCTTAGGCTTGCAAGAGTCCACCAGGTGTATGGGTCAAAGAACAGCAGCATATAATTGCAGAGATATCACAGGTTAAAGGTGTCAAATTTGTTCTGTGAAGATGTCTAAATTACCTTTTAAATTAAGTTCTGTTATCTGAATTCTAGTCTTAAGCAGCTCTCTGCTCTTGTCAAGAAAAAACTTGCACACAGATAAACAAAGAAATAATTATCATAATTAATTATTTTAGTACGTTGTTGTCACATTCGGCAGTATTCAGTTACTCAGCATTAGACAGCCTTGTAGACAGCCAGGAGTCCTATCCTTTTGGGTTTTTTTCCCTTATTCTCTCATCCTTCCTGTTCTTTTCATTCTCTTTTCCACATCTGCCTCTTCTTTCTTTTCTCTACCACTTCTTTCCCACAGCATTTCCCAGAGGCATCACTTCCTTCCCATTCCATTCCTGAAAAGCATCAAGAATGATATAGTCAGTACCCAAGATTAACATTTTAACATTCCTTTTTGGATTTGTTAAATTCAGTTCCTCACCTTCAGCAGCAGCCACCATCACCAACTTGAAAGAAAGATGCAAATGGATTGCAAGAAGACTCCACTGCATTTGAAGTTGTCATTGTAACACGGAAGGCATATATACCAGCACAGCAACCAGAATCCTTAGCTTGCATTTGGATTACTAATCTGTACCATTTTGCATGATTGTTGTCATTCAGGCTGGCTATATTAATGTAGCTATGGGTATGCCTACCCATACTGCCACGGCATCTTCATTTTGCTCTGGAGACCTTCCCATAATAATCAGCTATGCCATGAAGCACAAGGAGAAGAATTCATTTCAGGCTCCTGGAGGCAATAATCTGCTTGCAGCTCGAAGCAAGTGAAGGGACAGCCGTGGGAGTAGCAAGAGAAGGGCTGATGGGGGAGCAATGGAAGGAGCAGAGGAAAACAATTGGTGGGGGGGAAAGGGGTGGGGAGAGAGAAAGATCAGCAGAGAGAAGGGGAAGCAGAAACAACAGAAGCTATAGAGTGAGCATGGGTATTGGTGAGAAAAAAGTAGCAAAGGGTTGGAGAGAAGCACAGAGGTGAATGAATGGAGGGATAAAAGGGGGCAGAAATATGAAACAGAAGAATGTGTGTGATGGGAGAATAAGGGGAGGCAGACAGCATATAGTGGGAAGGGAAGAAATGGAGGGTGCCTCCTGCTCAGTAAAGCAGGAGTGTTAGGCTAGCACAGCATTCAGGAGCAGTGCAGCAAATTCAGTAGGAAAGTAAGGATGGATAGCAAGGACTTTAATGAGCGAGAGTACAGTGTGCAGAGCGAGAGGTTGTTGCTCCTCTGTTTAAGACGCTACGCCAGTGTTCTCCTCTGGATCACTGTACATCCTGGTCAAGCCACTCACCACAAGCCTGGGGAGGGGGCATGTTTCTAAGAGGCTCTTGAATGAAAAGGACAGGACAAGTCCTCCTCCTCTCTCCTTTAACCCTGAAGTGTCTAGCGCAAAGAGAGCAGGGTGGGAGTTCTGTGCCATAGACTTCCCTGGCTGCTTCTGCCTGCCCTCCCCATCTCCCTTCTTGCTCCCTGCCAGATCAGGGCCTGTGCTCTCTCCTGTCCCTGGGCTGGCCTCAGGGAGGGCCTTATCCTTTCACAGGAAAAGAATAAGGCGAGCCCAGGGACAGGAAGAACAAGAAAAGGGCTAGAGGGCGCTAGTTTCTGCTCCTGTGGCTCAGGTGTCAAACCCAAATGGCTCCAGTGGCCTGGCCAGCTGCTCCTGCTCTGCTTTGTTTTGGACACTGCCATTTTGTGTTTGTTTTCATGGGTGGGGAGACAGTGTGCGGGTGTGCTTGCTTTCATGGGGGGAACATGTGCGCAGTGTGCATGTGTGTGTACTCATCACTTCTGGCTGCAGAGGAAACCTGGGAAGCATGAGGAAGCAGCTGTGGGCTCTATGCCCTGCTCTCCCAGCTACCTGAGTTTGCAGGCAACCTAAGACCGTGGTGCTGGGAAGTGCAGCTGCAAAGCGAAGCAGCTACTGCCCTCAACTGCTAAGCAAAAGATGTCCTGAAGAAAGGGAGTGCCAGGGAGGGCTGGACACAGCAGGCACGGGCAAACTGGGTGGCTGCCTGGGGCTCGGACAGAAAAGGGCCCCCAAAATGGTAATTTTAAAATTATTATTATAGTATCAATATCTCTGGCGGAGGGGCGCTGATACTAAAAGTTCACCTGAGGCCACCAGGAGTCTAGGTAGGGTGCTGTGTGCGCCAGGACCTGCTGTGAGGGACGCTGCCTGTGAGGGGACTGGCACGTCTGTTCCTCCCCCCTCACCTGAGCCCCCAGCAGAAGGGCGCGGAGCTGGGCACAGCCGCGAGGCCCGACCCTCCCCTGCGCCGGGGCCAAGCCACCGCGCCAGGGGCGCCCGTCAGAGGGCGGCGCTCGGCGGGGCGGGGCGGGGC